TACATCAGTGATTCTTTGTAGTTTATAACCCTCTTAATAATCTAATGAGAAGACTGAGTATTTTCCCCCAGAGAAAGGCTCACAAAACTACAGAAGCAAACTTGAGCATAAGGTTTTAGGAGATGCCTTAGACACAAGCTGCATAGAAATCACAAGTGTAAAAGCTACGTGAAGGAGGAGGAGAGAGCTGCAAGCCTGGTACTGGAAAGTGGTGGATAATGTAAGAGCAGTAACCCGGCTAATGATGCCCTCTAGTGGTCAGACTCCCGCTGGACTGGGTTGTTGGCGCTGTGGGGAGAACGCTGGAGTGGGCATCAGGGAACCTGTGTTTTCCTCCTTCTTCTCCAGCTGGCTTCCTGTGCCATCCCTCTGTCTATTCTTTAGATATCCCTGCAGTCCCTAGTTACCAAAACATGAATAGAGGACAGCACAGTGCCTCTAGCATTGCTGGCTTTAAAGGGGTGAGAATCTCAGGCCACAGTGGATGGAATGGGGTGAGAAGTGCAAATTCCAGTAACACCTGAAGTTTTCTGACTTCAGGAGAAGGGATGAGATTCAAGATCAGCCAAATCTGATTCCTCTGAGGCGGAAGTCAGACAAACTTCCACTCCGACCTTTTTACCAATTCTGACACCAGTCCTCTCTAATACTCTTCAGGGTTTGATAATTCAATTCAACGTGTCGCACAACTCACGTCACTTTCCCTGGTTTACCAGGGAAATAACAAGGCACGAATCAGGATCAGGATCAGGAAGCATGTAGGCAAAGTCTGGAAGTCTTCCCCATGGTGGAGACCACATCCCTCTTCTTCAGTGAAGGACAGTTCTCTCAACTGCTCCGGCCCTGCAAGCCAGCAGGCCTTTCTCTCTGCAGCGCGTGCCCCGCCCCCCTCCATCATGCAGGCCTCTCGGCCTTGGGCCTCTTCACTGCTGCCCCACTCAGCACACAGCCAGGGCAGCAGCTTTGTTCCGGTCTCAGCTGCGCTCCCAGCGGCAGGTTTCTGGCCTCACCACCCACACTGCCACAGGGTCCCTTCTGGGCGTGCTGCTGCCGACTCTGCCGCGGGACCTCTTCCAGGCTTCTATCTTCACTCTTCAGCCCTTGACTCCCACTACAGCTCTTTTAGGAGTTTCTTTGCCTTTTCTGTTTCTGCTTCTCTCTTCCCACCTCCCTTGCCTTTTCTCCTTTTCATCTTTCTGGGACCTCTGTGGAACTGGCTACATATATAAGTTAACTCCTCATCAATTTCAAGGCATGGCCCATCCAGCAGAGCCATGAACTGACCAATCCCCTCAATGGCTCATAGTCACTTCATTTGCATAGTCTATAGTCATCATTTACATACTTTTTGGTATGTTGATCAATCTCTATAAAGTGCATAATATAGACCAATTATAGGGCAAGCTGCAGCTCAAGGCCAGACAAAAAGTATCAAACGATTAAGTTGTTCCCCGCTTACCCAGGAAATGTCAATCAACCTGGCAAAAAGCAACAAACCCTGTGGGCAGAGCACTAGGGCAAAGGTAACTCCTCAGGGCTTTGAGGAAAAGCTTTCAAGCTGTTTTCCCAAAGCACCAAGGCAAAAGGCCACGTAAAGGAACTCATTTCACGCACTAGGAAAATATGTTTGCCCTTCAAATCACTGAGATTAAGTGTGAGACAAGATGAAGACAGACAAGACCCATTACCACTGGTGTGGGTCTCCCACTGGAACACCTGCAAGAAATAAGCCCAGTCTTAGATGGTTTAGAAATGGGAGGGCTGAGACCCTAAGTCAGCTGATTAAATAACCAGCTCTTCATTTCCTGAGTTTCTGTAAAATCTTGTGTCAGGTCTTCCCACAGCCTTCCTTTCTAGTAAAAGCATCAATGCACAAGTTTCCTGTGCAGGAGCGTTTCTTGCAACTTGTTACAGTTAGTACACTATTGCAGAACTGTTCCGTTATTTTCTCTTTTATTTTTTATTGCACACAAAGACATCACACCAGGTGGAAACCACAGGTTCCTTCAAACATGTGGATGGAGGAAACTTGGTAGGCTCAATCCTTAAAAAGATTTCAACCAGTTAGACTTGATGAACCCACGCTGACAGACTGAGACATAATAGGGACAAATGCCGTCCTGCTCTTAGGTTAAAAACAGCTGCAAAAACCAAAATGGCAAATGCATTATCCTCTGAGCTAGCAATCCCTTCTAGGACTTCCAGCAGCATAACTCACATTTGCAAAATAATGTATGTGCAAGATTATTTATTATAGCAGTTTTTCTTAAATTGTTGTAAAAATAAAGGCAACACAACATTTGCCAAGTCAACATCTTTCACCGTACAATTCAATGAAACTAATCACATCAATTATGTTGTGCAGCCACTCTTTGCTATAGCAAAAGACTGGAAATAACTCAAGTGTCCACCATTAGAGGACTCTTTAAATAAACCAGAGCATCTTCACACAATGGAGTACTGTGCAGCACTGAAAAAGGATGCACAGATATGGAAAGACCCTAAGATAGACTGTTAGGTAAAAAACCAAATCAAAGTGCAAAAGAGTACACATCCTCTTCTATTATCCAGATAAGAAAGGGAGAGGCAAGAAGATAAATTGGACTTTGCCTGTATTTACATAAAGAAACACCAGAAACTGAAGCAATCTATAGGAGGAGGAGGAGGGGGTGGGGTGAATGGGGGCAGGAGTGTAAGTGAGACAGCTCAACATAAACCTTTTTATATTGTCCTGATTCTAAATCATTTCAATGTATATTACCTATTATATTTAAACTGTGTAAGCACAAAGTAAATTGTGTTTAAACAAACAAAAGAAGCTAATGCTTCAGTTTACTGCAGTCTGTAGATAGTGGGTCCATGTGTAGGAAGGACCAAGGCTAGTTTCTGCAGCACTGACAAGAAGGACCTGAGGAAACGGCTTTTGAACTTTTTTGGTTTTTTTTTTTTTTTTTTTTTGAGTATTTGGTGAAAATTTCAGGAAGTAAATTTGGTTTCATAGGAAAAATGTTCTGCTGGTGCTAGCCCCAAACACAATTGCTCTCTGAGCCCCCAGTGCCATTCTGTTGGGGCTGCTGTTACAGGGATTCCT